AGTCCTGCGAGCGGGATCGTGGGTGCACACTGCTGGGGATTCCCATACCAGGACGAAACGGCCGTCGAGTGCTTCCAGATTTTCCATGGTGATCTAGCTTTAATTGACTCATGAACTCAACTATTAATTATAAGATGTCGGATTATTGAAAAATTGACAGTACTTGATATTTTTTTATTTTATTTTAACATGAATTAGCAACAATTAAACAGAAGAGATTCCTATTTATTTTTGTTAGAGATGTCAGTACTGGGTAGTGTGTGTTATAACGTGTGCCCTGTTTAATGTATAATGTGATGATACCGCCAATTAAAGAATAGTGAATTATCAACCGGACCAATCACGTATCAAACTTGTACGAGCAGTCTAGAGTTCTTATCGGTTTTGCTTCCCGCCTAGCTCTGCCTGTTAAGTCCAGAACACCTATCTCAGCCTCTGAGATATGAATCATGTATTTCAAACACATTGGGTCTATATACAGGTAAACCAGATCACATCATACCATAAAATAGCAAACAACATTTGTACAAGATTTGACCAAATGTGGCTGTGAATGTGGTAGATAGTAATTATTAGACAGAGCATAATTCAAGAATGGTAAATCGAATAATAACAGTTCATCGGTTAAAATAAGGCGCATAATAAGAGAGACATGAATATGTATAGTTTAGTTATTCAACAATTAGATGCTAAAAATATACGTATAGTATTTGTCCATAAATGGATCCCAAAAGTTACCATTCATTATGCTTATCTGGACATAGCACAAATAATATTGACAAGCATCAAAGGACTGTAGTTTAGTAATCTTTATCATGTATTCAAGGCTGTAATACACATTATGATTATACCAACATCGTCTATTGTGAAGTCTATATCATTGGACTTGATCACAGATCAGTTTAACAGTTGAATACTTTATAAATTGGCACTGTGTTTTGATTTAGTTTACCTCGATGATAACCAGCTCACAGTGATGAAGCATGCATATGTAGATCACTTTCACAAATAAAGGTCCATTTCATTTTTGTTTTATACTATGCATCATTTTTCCACTATTATTTCATCAACTGATATCTTTTTAACCCCTATCAACTTATTGATTTTTACGTCACTGTCTAATGCTATTCATCGCCTTTACCGTTTACATCATACTCTATCAATGCTCATAATCGTTGTGTAAACTTTATCAATACACGTTTAAATTACGTTAGCTCACTATGTGTTTCGAGTTCACTGAATTGATTTACCGTACATATATTTATTTGATATACGCTACTGGAACTCATTAGTCTCTACCGACTTGTTAATAGGAATTATCGATATTATAATGCGAAACTATAAGTTGTTACCATGCTCTTCATTAAAGGGGTTATAACAGTATTTATCATAGTTGTGCTTTCATACTTTCTATTTCTTTTTTAATTCTATAGTTTCATGTAGACTGATTTCCTCTATTTGTTTGTCTAATTTCAATGATTTTATGATAGGCAAGTCTTGTTTCATGGAATTATAGATAATTTAAAGTGAATTATCCAAGTTTAATCGAAAAACCACGTGCTGGCAACTATTTTTTACGTTTATTGCTTGAAGAAGACAGACATGTGACTGAAGTAATTGATGCCATTTATTATTCTCATGAGGATATAACACCTCATTTTTTTTAAAAAGTTGAAGTGTTTATTTGGTAAGAATCGAAGTGTACAGAAAATCACGGGTATTTATAGATATTAGCATTTGTGAAATCTTTATGATTCAGCCAATCCGGCATATTATTCTATTGTCCAATAGTACCATGTCACGTTGATATTCTAGAAAGCTTCATCATATCCTGATTGGTTGGAAACTCCTCGGCTCCTTTAGGGCCTCTGGAGGCTCCGTCGTAGTTCTCAGTAGCCAACTCAACAGTGTGAAATGAATCCTGAAACCGCTCTTATAGATGTGTAAGAATAGTATACAATACAACAGCTTGAGTAAAAGTGAATACTTCTGAGATGATATATTCACTATGACAAGGGACACCAAGAAACCTAGAAGTCATGTAAGGTCGTTCAGGATACTACTTACATAAACCAAGTACACATTCATTTACTGGGATTTGTGCTGAACTGGGGATTCACCAGTTAGAAGATAATTGTTTCAACAACAAACTTGAATATTCTATCCGTAAGTTATCTTTCGCTCTTTTATCCGTTATATATGTATATATGATCTTAGTTTCTAAAATGAATCTAATGTACAACAACTCAAGTTTACAAAGTATTTTCTGATCATATAAGTAGATTACTTAGAGTTGTATCATGTAATTATTCACCAAATATTTTGTTAGTTGACAATAAATTAAGTACTATTACATAATCAAATATTTACGAATATGTTCGAAGAAATGATTTTCAGATACTAGAGCCTAGGTTTGAACCCCACTCCACATACATCGGTTTGGGAAATAGCGTAGGTTCGTCAGTCTTTACACTTAACTTATGACTCATACCCAAGTACCTGGCGAATGATATGAATTTTGTCGATTCTCTAGTTGATCGGCGCATTAGGTCTATTTTAATTAGCACATTACCAACTTACACACGATGGTAAACCTTGTTTATTTGTTGCGTGGTGTTAAATCTAAGCGTCGTAACCAGGAACATAATCACTGACGAACAGTCTCTAACCTTTGATAGTGAGTGCTTCAGTCTTTTTGTTTCGGAAGACTATCTCTTGAGTGCGCTAACTTGGAATCCTGAAGAGGAACGGAAAAGAGAAAGGCCAAAGAACACATTGCGCCGGGAGTTGGAAGCAGACATGAAAAGGATTGCCCAAGACAGGATTGAGTGGAGAGTGTTCTTCGACGAGGGGTAACAGGCGTAATAAAGTAATCTTTTAAGTAACATTATACGATCGTTTCTAACTCAGGGCCCACAATAATTTCCATCGAGGAGAGATATTTTCGTAATACACTGTTAAGTGTAGTACAGTGTGAAGTAGTACATCATTTAGGAAATATATCTGTTAGAACGAAACAAGTTACATTCTATTATTAGACCATTAAAGTGAATGTTCAATTTAATCATGTTACTGACAACAAAAACCAACTGTTGATAAATACTGTAATATTGAAATATTTTGATACAAATTAAGGATACTTCAATTCAAAGGAATATTACATAACTAGATCTCCATCCATTTTAACTCATATAAACAATGTGAAAATCAATGAAAGATACATTCGATTGGTTCATTGATAAACTTTACCTTCCAAAAAAAAGTTTTAATCTGGTTATCTGTTGAATTAAAATAATCGAAAATTGCGCTAAAATTCTTCTTTTTTACTTATAATCACAGTTTGAACTTAAAAAAAGTGACCCGTTAAATAACTCTGACATACTTTTTACGAACATATTAATTTAATAATTGAATTCATAAGTCAATTGAAGCTAGATAATCATGGAAAACATTGAAGCACTGGATGACCGTTTCGTCCTAGTATGGAACCACTCAGCAGTGTCCTCAAATGCCCTGGTACGGTCGAGAGTAGGGAGGAGTCAGCCTCCCTCTCCAATGTTCACGCGTATATAGCCTCCGCCAGAGAAGTTCTACTCACTGCCTTTAAGCGACATCACTGTTGTTTACGAAATCGAGAAAAAGAAAACCGAATGTCTGGCGCTTTAACCGGGTTGGTGGACACACAGAGTCCACCTAGGGGAGTTGAAAACCCTCATTCCAAACCAATGATGCACATGGGCTCCAGGATCCTGAAGGAACAAATGGCGTATGAACGAATTATTGGTCACTGGCTACCATGGAACTGCATCTACTGACGCTGCTCCACTGCCTTGTGGATTAGACCTTTAGATCAAAGGCTCAGGGTGTGCTCCCTAAGAAAACCACGTGCTTCGGTCTGAACTCCAGGGCAGTATCATAGCCCACACATAAATCAAGTGACTTGAGTGGTGCATATGTATTTGGTGCCCCTTTGTACCAATATTTATGTGTTCAAATAAATAAGTAATAACAAACATCTACGATCCCGCTCGCGGGATTCGAACCCAACACCTATCGGTCTCGCGAGCGTCTGACCTCCAAACTGCTGAGCCGGTCGTTCAATGTTTTCAGGTTTTCCATAATTGTCTAGCTTCAATTGACCCATGAAGTCAACTATTAAATTACTATAATATCCACAAAATCTCTTGATTATATACACATTAGCTAACACAAAATCATCTGAACATATATGAATTACATATACTCACACTTACAAATCTTACATCATAATAACTCTATAGTTAATTGAGAAAATTTCTTTTGCTTTGTGTATAGTTTTAATATTCTAAAGTAATTTCTATCGTAAACTTACATCGGTTTGAGAACCATGTGAAAAGAAAACATACGACCGGCATTTCGTCCTAACTTGGAAAACCTCATCAACAGTTCATGCTAAGACCACATAGTTCATCAATAAAACCTTCATTCCTCGTGAAGCTCATGATACCATCTGAGTTGATTGAAATAGGTCTACGTACCCAACTTTAATCAATTCTAGTATAACACAACTCTATGTAGAGCCTTAAGTGTCCAGACTAAGACAGGACACTTTATTGAAAATGTTTTTATATTTTTCATCACGAACTGACCTGAATGACTGTCAAAAACAGCCTTGTCCTAGTATGGGACTACTCAGTAGTGTGTATCCACGACAGCCCGGAACTTTCAGGCATCCGGGTGGACAACATTTAGACCACTGAACCGGAGTTCACTGATTTATTTGTTGAAGCTGTGAATTTCAATTATTCCTGGTGTAAGGTAGAATTCCACAGTAACATTGTACAGTTATTATTTAACACCGTGAAGTGATTAAAGTTAAGCTTGCAATCCCCTAGATACCGACTCATTAGTTTAATATTCGAATGCTTGTAACAACTTCCCCAAGGTTTTGGGTTCGAACCTCCGCATTGCCGAGGAGTAATACACTAAGATGAAACAGTTGTGTAAGCCTTTTAAGCTTTAAATGGTTATCAAACTAAGAGTTAATTTGTGGTATGAAGCGCAAAATCCAACAATCTTCACAAATCCTCAATACTTATATATACATAAAGTTATGAATCAAAATACAGATGTGTACCGCAGTTTCTGTTTTATGCAAAATATTGACTATAGTTAAGATTTCAATATCTCAAAGATGATAAAGGTAGAAATATCAAATGGATAGAAAACGAGGAGAGTACTATGAAATTTCAACAACAACAAAAAAGGGAAAAAGAAAAGGAAATAGTTGTTTTGTTTAAAACTATCATACAAAATAATGTGTATAAAAGCAATGAAAAATCGTAGAAAAAAAATAGGAGGAAGAATACAATTTAATTGCATAGTACGTGATCTAATGTTGTAGATGATTCAATTGGAAGGATCCCATTAAAATGATAATACACTTTTGTTCGTTCAGTAAGAGTAATATCTTTAAATCCAGCATTCAAGAAACTATCAACAACAACCTTAAAAAGAAAGAAAACAGAATATAGAAATTGTATATTGGTAATGATGAAAATCAGATGCCACCACCCCAGAAAAAAATATAATAAACTGTAAAAATTATCACATAAACTAATAATATCGACATGGTATTTTACAAAAAATCAATAAAATGTAAGGACGAGGAATTACGGTAGTTACTGTTAATAAAAAAAGCTTAAACCTTTAATGATCTTATATATAGTGAGCTATTACAATACGAATTCAAACTTTCTAAAGGAATATAAGTTTCATTTAGTCTCCAGTATCCTGAAGGAACAAATGGCGTATGAACGGATTATTGGTCACCGACTACCAAAGGACTGCATCTCCTGACGTTTCTCTACTGCATTGTGGATTAGACCTTTAGGTCGAAGGCTCCGCGTGTGACCCCCTAAGAAACCATGTGCTTCGGTTTGGGCACCCGGGCATTATCCCAGCGCTCACACAAATCGAATGATTTATGTAGCGCATATCTATTTGGTGCCTCCTTGTATCAATGTTTATGTATTTAAATAAATAAACAAATCAGCGAAGTAATATAAACAGATTACCGTCCTAGCATCTAGCACAATTCCTTGAGAGTTTGAGAGTATGAGGTGCGACTTAGCATGGAACAACATTCAGATCTCGTAGACAGTACATCACCTTTAAACTAGTAAAGATTTAATGGATTCACATTTACAACTTCAGTCAATTTGTGATATAACGTGAAAATCATTCAACATTATCGACGGTTAATTGACTCGAAAGCTCCTCATTAACTATTCAATCAAAATAAGGATCGTATGAGTACCAACGACAGCCATCAGGATGAATTTACAACAAATTTAAAAGGAAATAGTAACTCGTAAATTCCGACGGTGACGAGAAAGAAGGTCACGAAAGGGTGTTATTGAGTAGTTTTAATAATTCGTGAGTTGAGCCAGTTGGTCATCAGCAATACATAACTAGGAACATATATGCACCCGATCAAATTACCATACGAAGAGATGAAATTATCAAGATAAATGTAAGAGTAGTAGATGTAGTAACAGTATCAGTGGTAGTAAAAGACATTACACCTAGACAATAGGATTCAGGAAGCAATGCATTAAAGGAATAAAAAACACGAGATGGTTTTAAAAACTCAAGATCTAAAAGAACATGAAAGTAATTACACTTGCACAAATGAGACCAATCATAAGCCATGTCACATAACATCTCGAACCCCTCAGTCAGTCGGTCGTTAACAACGTAGAACTTCGTACGTACGTAAATCAGTTCGGGTTGCCACACCATATTAGCACAGAGATGCAGTTGTCCATTCAAATCCTGTAGTGGCAGAGGTGGTAAGAGTATAAGCAGTAATCGGAAACATTAGGGTTTGAAAATGTTATTTAAAGAGTACAGTCCAGTGAAATAAATTTTGAAAGAGAAAAAAGGGAGGTACGAAATTCAGAAGATTAGAACTTGAGAGAACACAAAGAGTGGATGCACCTGCACCATCGCGAACGATTTTGAGCAATGTCATTCAAGGTCTCTAACCGTCGGTTGCTATCATCTCGCGGTCCCCAACCACGTAGTCTACACCTACTAACATGGCTCAGTCCACTTGTCAGTGACCTCATGGATTTATGCCATGTTCTGGTCTGGCCGCCTCTAGCTTTCTTCCAACCTACTCCTACACCAGAAAACATCGTACGTCGGTGGTTGGGCATACGTAACGCGTGTCCCAGCCATCTCAACTCATGAAGTTTCACTACTTCATCAATTGATTTGCCATCCTTACCTAGTACCCGTTTCCTAACAACTGCGTTTCTTATTCGATGGTTCCAGGATATGTGAGCAATATTTCGAAGACACCTATGATCAAATACTAGCAACTGACGAATATCCTCTACTCTTACCGGCCACGTTTCACCTCCATAAAGTAGGACGGAACGAACTGTTGCGCAGTAAACACGTCCTTTGGTCGATAGACGGATATCTCGCCTTCGTCATAAATGACGCAAGATAGCGAAAGTTAGACGAGCCTTCTGTATCCGTGCTGAGATTTCGTCACACACCAGACCACAAGAGTTGACGAGACTCCTAATATAAGTAAAGCAGTCGACACGCTCAATTTCTTCACTCCCTATCATTAGTTCGGGGTGTCGATGTAACCCAATCCTGAAGCAACATTTCGCATTTCCAGGGGGAGAATCATATCCCGAACATGCTTGCATTGTTGATTAGAGTGGTCAGAAGACTGCATTTTGTAAGCGTCTTCACCAAATAGAACTATGTCATCGGCATATTCTAAGTCAACAAGTAAATCTCCCAGTAGAAGTTCAACCCCTAGAAATGTAGATGAGGAAAGTGTTATCTCTAAAAGCACGTCAACGACAAAGTTAAACAAGAACGGAGAGAGTGGACAGCACTGACGAACACCACTTGAGATAATCAATTCTGATCACAGTTCGCCATAAGCTCTCATTCGACCAGTTGTGTTCGAGTAGAGAGCCTTTACAAGGTTAATGTACTTCTTTGGTACTCCTTTCAGTGACAAACACTGCCACAGAACCTCACGATCAACAGAGTCGAATGCCGCCTTAAGGTCGAGAAATACTACCATTGTGGGGCGTCTGAATGTGTGTCTGTGTTCTAGAACCTGACGTAGTGTGAATATCTGATCTATACAACCACGTCCAGGTCGAAAACCAGCCTGGTTTTCTCTAATCTGCTCTTCGCGAGCTTTGATTAGGCGTCGAAGTATTATTGAGGCTAATATTTTAGACACTATATTAGTCAAACTGATTCCTTTGTGATTGTCACAACTTCGTAAAGAGTTGGAGGACCTACATTAACTTGCTATTCAGGTTGACTGGAGATCGTGGGAAACCGAAGTGTGGCTGAAGGCCAGTTGAATTGATCCATGAAGTGTTCTGCCCATCGATCCAATCTCCTGGATTGAGAGCGTATAATATGTCCATCTTTCTCTGAGAGTGTTTCGCTAACAGTCGGTTTCCTAATACCGGTTTTCTTAAAAAAGTCTGAACAATTGTCTCCTATTACCTATTGCCGCTACCTTTTCCATCTCTCTTGCTTTCGCTACCCACCACTGTTCACGATCATTGCGTAGGCTTCTTGTCAGCAGACATCACTGCTGTTTCCACAGCTTTTCGGATATCATTCCATGCTGTCTCGGGGTGGGCATCACATACATGGCTGTTGAACTGTTGTTCTAGTTGTTTCTGAAATATACTCTTAGCATGACTATCATTAAGTAGGACCCTAAGAGGTTTCCTTGCAGCGTCTCTCCTACGTCCAGTAAGACGCAGACAAATACGCGCTCGTACTAGAGCATGATCTGAATCTAAGCATGTGCTCCAGAATGAGCGACAGTCTTCTATCGAACCCCTCTATCGGTGGCTAATAGCGATGTGATCTATTTGGGTCCAACGTTGGGACGAATTAAGGGGTCTCCATGTTAAAAGATGTTTTTCCTTATGCCTAAAGTTAGTATTTGCAAGAAAAAGACGGTTATCTGAGCATAGCTGCAACAGACGGTCTCGATTATTCAATCTTTGAGCCACGACACTATAAGATCTACCCATGTGTCTTTCCCTTACGCTTAGTTTACCTACTTGAGCATTAAAGTCACTAGCCACTATTACTACATCCGAGCGCCTAGCTTTTCGGAAAAAGGTCGGAAACCTTTCGGTAAAACTCATCTTTTACATCATCTGAGCTGCAGTCAGCGGGAGAATAGGCAAAGATGACGAAGAGGCAATGACGAGTGTCCCTATCTTTCCGAGTCCTTACTGTTCCGTTCAGTCGGACAGCGCATAAACGACTGTCTACTGGGATCCGCTCTAAGAGAGCAAGATCTTCCCTAGGACTCAATGCTATACCAACGCCGCGGAGTCCACGAGAAGCAGAATCAGGGCTTCCAGACACACGAAGTGTGAATCGATTCGGTTCTTTATTTTGACATGGTAAGGTCAAATGAATGACGCTACTCGGATCCAGTATGCGCGTTTCGGAGACGTAGCACACATCGATGGCGCGAGATTCTAAAGTCCTAGCTAAGGAAGCCTGTTGTCCTATTTGTCACAGTGTTCGGGTGTTATAAGCTCCTACGTGTAGTTTAGAGCGTGGTTTCAGGAGACCGGGAATAACGTTCCACGCACTCGAATCGTTTGCCCTGGCGGTGCGAGGTGATAAAGGGACGTGAGAAGGGTTAGTCGGGGAGATAAGAGAAGTATTAGGAGGTGTAGGAAGGATTCGAATATGACCAACTTGGTCTCGTGTGCTGTTACGGGTATGAGGGCTGATGTCACTTCCCGGCTGCCCACACCGTGGAAGGGTATTTCTTGAGGAACCTGAAAAGGAAATTGGATTAATGTTAGCTTTAACAACCTGGGAGCGTGATCGCGGAGCCCAAGGGACAACTGTTCGAGGCCGGTTGCGCACGGCCTTTTTGTGGGAGGTTTTTGACCTGTTAGCTCTGTTCTTCAAAGAGCCTTACCGCTGGAGACGGAAATCCGTGAGGTAAAGTGAGGTGTGACACTGTTAGGGTCAACCTTTTCTAACTCCTTCCTTCCTTGTGAGAAGGCAGCATCGCTGCAGATGCTGGTTGTCCGAGGGAAACACCTTACTGCAGTCACACCCCTCTACAGTCAGCAGTACGACTTCGCCCTCAGAACATGAGTTGCTGCTTTTAGTCTTACCGTTCTCCAATCGACCTGCCTGGCATGGTAAAAACTACAGGAACATATGTTCCAGCCAATATAGCTCGGTTAGGTCATCACAATAGGCAAGCCCGACCACCGCGTCAAGGTAGCAGCTACGGTTGGGATCTCCAACCACTGCTTACGACAGTCACGCGGAACCCAATCAGGTAACCTAGGCCATGACACCACTTCTTAGTTTGGCCGCCCCTTTTTTCAATCTATGCTTGGGCAAGTGACCATCATGTGTCCTGGTAAGTTGTCTTTAGGCAAACATTATAAATGACGTAACCCCCTCAATCGGTGAGGATTTACTACCTCGTTAAACCGTCTACCACCTTTACCTAGTATCCTGGATCTAACCTCAGGAGTGATTAATTGATGGTCCCAACATATGCGAGCAATGCTTCTAATACATCAATAATCAAATAGTAATATCCTCAATTTTCAATAGCTAAGTTCCCCATCCATATGTTAATACGTCTCGAAATTATTCTCCATAAGTCATTTAACCAAACAATCAAAATAATTAGAAATAGATTTTATACTTTTACTTACCTCCTTAATTCCATCTAAAACAATGATGAATCGATAACGCTGTTGTAACAACGGCCATATAGTACTAGCCATAAGAGCTGTATTAGCAAAACTAAATACTAACATGTCTGCATCTGGTAGTGTCTCTACATCATCCCGATTATTAAAACGTGAACTTTTAAACCAAACAGACACTTGATATTCAGATGACCACTGACGATCAAAAGCAGCTAGATAATTGCCCCATCCAGCACATTGATCAATGGCAAAATAAACAATACGCTGAGTGAAGCCACGACAACGTGCATATGCCAAATAAGCAGCTATATCTGGCCCGGGACCAACACCAATACTAATAATACGACTAACATGATCCCGTAAATAAACTTCAACATCTGGATTTTCCGGTATAATTCGATAGACTAAAGCCTAAAGCGTAAAAATGAAAGAACGAAATCGAACTCATTGATGAAAAACAATGAATACATTTATTAATGCACATATGATTATGTGTAAATATTCAACTCTTACCTCCTCTACGTTCCAGATTCCAGCCTTAATACACTTATTCTAATGACGTAAACAGATCAGTAATGTAAGCCTTGATAGAGTAAAGGAGGAAAAACGTTGAATCCAAGAATCTGTATTAGCAACACTCAGTGGTTGTTTGAAATATATCCATAACCCTTGTGTACAGTAGTCAGGCACAACAACTTCCCTTGAATATTTCACCTTTTGAAAGCTAACAAATGGAATGAAGCTATGAATGATACAACAATAGATGTTACCAATATTATTATTATTACATATATTATGTATCGTCATACTTGTATACATGATACATGAAACATTTGTAAACAATAATAGATTGTTTATTATCTTCATTTTTAACAACTTCAATGATATCTTATGAATGTTGACATGTCATATTAAGTAGATATGTGTAACTTTCAACATAAGTATTATGTTAACAATAGATTCCTGATGATTTTATTAAAGGTTTACTTAGAAATGATTGATTCACTACAGTTTTATGGAACTAAAAAGTACCTATCTACTGCATGTATAAGTCTGCTAGTTTTCTTAAATCCTTAGTTCACTGCAACAAAAACCGCAATGTTCATAAAAATAAACAAAAAAACCTCATTTAAAAAGATTGTACCCTTAAAAATTAATGGATAGATAGTTGATATAAAGGAAAATCACATTTTTTATTTTTTTTTAAACATAAAGATATATTTGAGTTTTTTTACCTGAAGGAAACTTGTAGAACTATTTATATAACGTTGTCGAGTGTAAGTGGCACGAAATGTGTCGTTATCATAATAAGCTAGAAGGCATTCTTTACGACGTATTTTACCTGGTAAAATAAAAAAAACGAAGAATCCTAGAGATTTAACCAATTTATAGAACTATATGAAACAAGAAGATAGAGAAGTATAACAGTTAATAAAGTTTTATTTGTAGGATTTCTATCAATTAGAGACTAAACATAACATAATCTGCCCCCAAATGCCCTGGTACGGCCAGAGGTGCGAAGAGTTCAGCTCTCCCTCTCCAAAATGCTCTCACATGGCTACACATATACAATCACTAACAGGGAAGTCCTGCCCCCAAATGCCCTGGTACGCCCGAGAGTGGGGAGAGTCCGCTCTCTCCCTCCAAATGCTCTTAAATGGCTACGCGTATATAGCCTCCGCCAGAGAAGTCCTACTCACTGCCTTTAAGCGACATCACTGTTGTTTACGAAATCGAGAAAACCAAAACCGAATGTCTGGCACTTTAACCGGGTTGGTGGACACACAGAGTCCACCTAGAGGAGTTGAAAAACCCTCATTCCAAACCAATGATGCACATGGGCTCCATGATTCTAAGGAAACAAATGGCGTATGAACGAACTATTGGTCACCGGTTACCATGGGACTGCATCTACTGACGCTGCTCCACTGCCTTGTGGATTAGACCTTTAGATCAAAGGCTCAGGGTGTGCTCCCTAAGAAAACCACGTGCTTCGGTCTGAACTCCAGGGCAGTATCATAGCCCACACATAAATCAAGTGACTTGAGTGGTGCATATGTATTTGGTGCCCCTTTGTACCAATATTTATGTGTTCACAGAAATAATAACTGTGGATTTTGGGTAGGATCACCCATTATTCGATTACTTTTAACAGTTAACTAGTTAGATAGCAACAAATGTCAACTTAAATTATGATTAGCATGACACGGCTCTCCTCATGGAAGTGGCCTGGTGAGTGAAGCGTCTAACGTCCAGTGTATAGGCGACACTATCTTAGTGAGCAATTATATACTGATTGCATAAATAACGTTTAGTCAACCAGTAAAAAGTCCACACGGTACGCGTTTTATACCAATAAAAGACAAAGCACTCGTAAAGAATTGAGAATTTTAAATTATGTTTACTCTAGATAGTGAGCCATTGCGAGATGTAAAATATAGTAAGTCATAGGTAGTTTGTAATATTGAAAGGAGGATGATATGACTTCTCCGTGCAACAAAAACCATGGTAATATACACAAGTCTAAATCCCCTTTACGGTAGTAACAACATTAATTTGGCCAGAAAAGGTAATTTTATGCATTACTTTGCCTTTATGAACTCTAAAATTGACTGCTAGTAAAAATATAGCCTGTAACGCCAGATCAAGATGCATATAAAAGGTTTTAAGCTAGAAACCGAATGACTAAAAGGCAATTTTTCAAGTCAATAAGCCACAACATTGTAACGTTTGGGCACATTCCCAGTCGTTCATCGACATGAAGTTATCTTACTACAAATAGATTAATGATCTGATTATATATACTATGCTAGACTCAAAAAACTTTCATATTGATTGTTTTCTGTTGCATATATATAGTCAAGATGCACACGAAAAACAAATACAAAATTGAGTTTTAACAGTATTACCCCATTCTCTATAGAGACTTTGACCTCGTTGTTCACGATCGGATTTAAGTGTTGAGTTAAGTAACTTCTCTATTGGTTGATATAACTCCATTATTCGTTTGACTTCTTGAGCAAATTTAGCTCGTCTTTGAACACAGTTCTCCCATGCAGACCGGAGCTCTACATCTAACTCATCATCAGCAAGCTTTTGCTTTAAAAATCTCTCCCACCATGCCTCAACAGACTCATCCGACTCATTACTCTCAGCTTCCACTGTTCCCGTCATGAATGCTGATTAAAGAAACAAGAATTAAGAAAACAGCACGAACGATTTAATGGAATTGTTTTATTTATTTGAACAGTCATTACTACAAGGGGGCATTAAATACATAGCAATGGGGATTTGATGAAATAGAGAACACCCAATACGTAAAAATGTGATTCAATTTTTCCGTGTTATGTTATTCTGTAGTTGTACATTCTTGACTTTTTCAGTGTATATTTGGCTAGCATTTTCATCGATAGCACAGTTGTTTGTCTGAGGTAATGTATAGTTTGTTTATATATCTCTGAACGAATATTACAGTACTCTAATTATCTACTTTGGATTCAGAAAGCTAGTTACCAGATAAAGAACACCCATAGTGTGGGATCCAAAAGCAAAAGTTCTCAAAACACGGTCATTTTTATAAATTATTCGCTAGTGACTATTATATTAGCATAGAGAAGAATCAGATGCATGCGGACATTTTACCGACTGATGTGGAATAATTTAATGCATGAGACTAGAAACAGTCACTCAGTAAGTTACAACGTAGAACCTGCACGTATATATATATATATATATATATATATATATATATATATATATATATATATATATATATATATATATTCCGATTGCGTCCAAGCTATTGGCTTCCGTCATACTTCGTAGGTTGTTCAAAACCCGAGAAAGATTAACTCGCGAGGAGCAGGCTGGGTTTCGTTCTGGTCGAGGATGTATTGATCATATCTTCACCCTCCACCAAATGTTAGAACACCGCCATACTTTTCAAAGGCCAACAATCGTAGTGTTTCTTGACATCAGGGCTGCCTTCGATTCGTTGGATAGGACTGTTCTCTGGGATTGTCTATTGAAGAAGGGTGTCTGAGAAGTTTATTAACATCCTAAAAGCCTTATATAAAAACACCTCAGGCAGAGTGAGGGCATACAACCACCTTTCTCCATTGTCCTATTCGAGCAGTGGGGTTAGACAGGGTTGCCCAATCTCACCATTCCTCTTCAACTTTGCCATCGACGACATTCTGGAAACAGCTCTGAGGGATGTAAGTAATGGTGGTGTGGATCTGTTGCCTGGAGAAAGACTTCTCGACCTTGAGTATGCGGACGATATTGTCTTACTGTGCGATAATTCCCAAGACATGCAATTTTCGCTTAATCAGTTGGTAATCAGTGTCCGTAGGTATGGTATGTGCTTTGCACCTTCGAAGTGCAAAGTACCTCTACAAGACTGGCAGGATTCTAATCCTATACTAACTCTGGATGGTGAGCAGATAGAAGTAGTCGAGATGTTCGTGTATTTGGGTAGCTGTATGAGTGCTGGTGGGGGTGTGAGTGCTGAGATCAATGCACGTATAGTGAAAGCCAGAGCGGCTTATGCCAATATGGGCCACCTTTGGCGCCTTCGTGGTGTTAGCCTGGCTGTGAAAGGTCGGATTTACAACGCGTCGGTGAGAGCAGTTTTGCTCTATGCTTGTGAAACCTGGTCTCTCCGAGTTGAGGACATTAGACGACTTTCTGTATTCGATCATCGATGTCTCCGAAGGATTGCTGACATCCAGTGGCAACACCATGTTAGTAATGCAGAGGTTCGGCATCGTGTATTCGGGCACAGAGAAGATAATGCAATTGGTGTCACCATCTTGAAACACCGACTTCGGTGGCTTGGACATGTTCTACGAATGTCGTCCCAGAGAATTCCACGTCGTGCATTATTTGCCGACTCTGGAACTGGTTGGAGGAAGCGAAAAGGTGGTCAGTATATGACATGGTGTCGTGGTATGAAAGAAAGCTGCAAAGAACTGGCTTGTGTTGGTCCTTCACGACTCCTTAGTTGGGGTCCGAGAGATGGTGCTACACAGTGGCTAGAGACGTTATCAGATATGGCTCAGAATAGAAGCCAGTGACGATCGTGCTGTAACCTTTTACTTTCTTCATAAAAGTGGTTGTTTCTTTCTTAACTGAAAGATTTCTTCTGATTGTACCTTTCCGTTCCCTCATTATGACTATGATTATTACTACATTCCCTTACACCAATCCCTTCATTATTGTTTTTTTTACGTTCCTCATTTTTTTTTCTTCCTAAATTTTCATTGTTTTGTGTGGCGTATATATATTTGGCGCACTCCTGTACCAATATATGTGTTCAAATAAATAAATAAATAATAAAATATATATTCCTAGTTGACTGAACTATGACGTTAACTATCAATGACATCCTAGATCTATTCTGTAAAGCAATTAGAAAATATATAGATACAGTTTTACAGAAAACATGTTTAAGAAACTAACTTTATGTTTATACACAGGAGAATTTAATTAGGGGTACAGAGCAGATGATCAAACTGTATGATGCCTTTCGGTCATAACAATGTAAAACAGCTTTGATGAAAAGCGGCACAAGTAAGAATGAAAGTGGGAACATTGTGATATGAATTAAATCCGTGAATTTAGGTTAGTCGGTGTAAAAAATACACAGATCAAGAAAAACCAATGGAATGAACAAACTTCGTTTTAAAAAACCACAGTGCTTATTACTTCCTCGTATTTGTAAGCCTTGTACACAAATTTAGACCTCTACATTCAAAGATCAAAGTTCGAAATAAGATTGAATGTTTTAATTACAAAGAGATGCACAGGGCTGATGTAGAAGTTAAAATTTACAGCAATATCCTGACCACTTCGAATAATTGGCTATAAGTAACCAGACAAAGGATTTCAAAGGTGAAAGTTTCGACTAAAGACTGAAAATAAAATCTCCAGAATGTTACTGGAAATGAAAAAGGTCACAATGTCAACAACATATGCTGTTGACTAAGCTGTTCGAATGATTTACGTAGGGTGGTGAAGTACGATAGAAGTGATAGGAGACTCAGTGGATGGATACGGATTTTAAACCACGCTTAAATGAAGGTGCTTTCAAATAAACAATGTCGTGAACTTGAGTTAGCGTAGGCATACAGTTCCACCACATCTAGAATTCGAGATGTATGACATAAGATAACTGATGTCATATGTTCATATATCGTGCATAACTACATTAAGTCAAATCTATCATGGATATATTTATATATAGATTACTATATGATAATCAACAGTTACAACTAGCTAGGTTACAAATATTAACTTCATGTGTATTGAATCTAAATCACAATCTCCACATTTTGGTGAAAATTTTATCCATTTTGTGGAAGTCACCACGAAGATTTTTGGGTAAACGACACAAAACCCCCAAAATCTTCCCCAGGTTCGAGGAAATTTTCCCAAAATTTGGGGAAAGCTGCTAAGTGTTATTGGATATTGGAGAAAACCCGAAAATTCCGTAAAACAGAGAGAATGGGATGAGAGTAGGCCCAGATCCCTCGATTTTGAATAAAATTCGAGGTTTTCCACAAATCCGTAAGAAAGTTGGCAGTTTTTCACGATGTTTGGGGAAAAACCCCAGCGTTATAAAATTCTGGAGAGATATTTCCCGAAAACTTTAGGGACTTTCACCAAACCTGGGAAGATTTTTGGGTTTTGTAACATTCCCACAAAACGTCCCTGAATTTTTTATCGTGGCTTCCCCAAAACCTACCCAAAACGGACAAAATTTATTTCAAAAAATGGGGATCGGGATATATGCATATATCTAGTGTTAAAACAGTGCAGATGCCATGAATTAAATGTTAATATTTAGCTAGAAAAATCTGTAGTCTTTTGAAAAAAGTGGTGTTAGACATTCGGCTCCATTATATCAACTCAGAAAGTCTTCTACTTGAAAAATGTGGAATTACATAAAAGGCGCGTATACACACCCGGTCACGACCTTCGGTAGGACAAAACGGCTTGCACTATCCAATAACTTTAGAGCTACATGGTTTGAGCTAGTTGATTTCTATACCCCTGGATCTTCAGCCTGTCTCAAATTTTTAACTGTGTCAAGAAAAGTTTATTTTAGCCCCTAAGCTGAAATATTTCAAGTTGTGAATATTAATGTGTTTGATGTTTCCATTTTACTCCATTGTCTCACAGCAATATGGTATTGCTGGGATCAGTGAAGATCACATGTAATTTCAGCATCTGTCTTTTCAAGCGATAAGCAGTGTTGTTCCCTTATGGTTTTCTCTTTTTGAAACAGTCTACTGACTTGAACATCTGGTCTCACCTGAACCAATATAAACTTATCTGTAATCACAGATGAATGCATTCTACTTCTGTCCCCATAAGCCTTGTTTCATAAGCCAGTACCACTTTGCATAGCGTTTCTCGTCACTTGCTTCCAGATACTCATGTCTTTTGTCCCAGTAATGGAGACAACGAGAATAGATTTGCAGAGTGACAGCACTTGCGTTTTAAACTATTCTAAGAGCAGTTGAGAGATGGTCAATTTGAGCTGTTCATGAAAAAGATTAACAATAGCATAGGCCCTATTTACTTCATCGGTGCAACGAAAGGTGGAGGTTGATCATTGTACTTGAAATATTCTTAGGTTAAGTTTTGTCAAGACATGTGGAAGCGACGATTTCAAACGTGTCCACTACGTCGTGCGAGTGTGTAGGTATATGACGTGGTATTTAGCAAGATTGAATTTCAGGCCAGGCGACATGTGAATGAAGGAGTCGTGACACATTTTTACTGATTGTAGAACGAAGAAGGGCACAGTAAAGCTCCCAGGAAAACTCCGAATCCCAAGGCTCTTCAACTAACATGTATTCCAAGTCCTTGCGCCACTCAGTAACAAATTTTCTGGGATCACACGGTAAATTTCTCAATGAAGATTGTTAATCTATCAGAAGAATCGATGATGTTACGCGAAACGAAGTGCTCACTCAAATAAACAAGAACTGAAAAGTTCTGTTATCTTCAATATATCTTCAATATCTTTGTCACGAGCTTGTATGATCCTACTGATTTTTTTGCTAACACTTCCCACTTGTTCGGTACTGTTCCAGGTATTCTACTTAACGACACTAATTTTAGTTTTTTTTGTTATTTGTGAATATGCTTGTCTTTTAATTTAAGTACGTGGTTTTGTTTCAGGGCAGGTATGCTTATGGACGTCAGCAATTTTCACACTACCATGTAAGAGGTTGGCTTATCGCAGTGTGATAATAATGAAGTGATGATTTAAATGATGAGAGAAGATGGTCGTTTCAAGAATAAGTGCTTCTTTTACTTATTCGATAATGTGTAGGAAGACGGAATCGATAGAATAATTAGGAAACAGAGAGCATTATCGGAGAAATAGGAACTGGTTACTGGTTATGAGTAGTGTTAACCTTGGCAAATTACGTGACATGCATCAGGGACAGCTGGTTCAAAAGAGGAATGATAAACCATGAGTGAGTACGTATTCGTCCAAACTCCCATTAAACCTATCTACTAAGGGGGTTGTAGTCACTTCGGGTGTGAGAGCATTACAAATTGTGGTGTTTGAATTGACTAATGATACCTTTGTACATGTTGAATGCTCGATTTCGAATTCCAAATACAGTACATTCGTTTGTGCTTGTGTCTTCTTAATTCCATTGCGTTAGTGCTATGATTCAAATAATTCGAAACTATATACTGGCGTCGCGATGGAGCCTGCAATGGAAAAGTTAGATATTCATTCAACTTCTGAAGTTTTTGAGGATTATTTTGAAAGGTTCGAAATATGGGCTATGACCAAGGAAGATGATGAGGATGTTAATATTGTGGCATATTTCCTCACATTCATAGGCAAAGAAGCATACAGCTTATCAAGAACTCTGGCTATGCCGGTAAAACCCATTTCGCTTCCTTATACAACTCTCAAGGCATTACTACTAGACCATGTCAGGTATGCAAATTTTGATTGCAGTAAAGAAGGGGAATTTCCCAAAATGATTCATCAGGGCATCAAAAATTCTACTACATCACGTCATACCAATCCAGTGCATACTCAAGATTTTGCAGATAATTCATTGAGAAGTTGCAGGGCGTTTCACGAAGACTGGCGCAGGTTTGGTCAATGTTTGTCCTGTGGCAAGTTCCATGCTTTTAATTCATGTAAATCTCGTAATTCTAAGTGCTTTAAATGTGATGATATTGGATATATTCAGTCAGTCTGTAATATTACTGTTCATCTTGCTGCAACTAATATTAAGTCTTGTAATTCTGCTTCTACTGAGTCGAGTATTTATAATGACGATTTATCTTTATCAACGATTGCAATAGACAGTGTAGAGTCACAAGGCAGTTCAGAGGTAAATCAAGTTCAGGATTCTTGCGAAACAACAGTTTCTCACCAATCGATTTATCAAAACTTTCATGCTATTGTACCAGGTATGGTTTTTCCTAATGATTCACATATTTCTGACGAAATTCCTTGCAAATCTGAAGAAAATATGTTGAGTGAACATAATTATGATCGGAAACCTGATGTAGTTTTGATAGATGCTAATTTTTCTAATGATCCATTACTCTGCAATGACATTCTATAATGTTTCGAATTATTTGAATTATAGCATGAACTAAGAGTCCAAGAAACAACGCAATTGAATTAAGAAGACACAAGCACAAACGAATGTACTGTATTTGGAATTCGAAATCGTACAATCAACCAGTACCAAAGTATGATTAGTTCATTCAAACACCACACATTCTTAATGGATTTCATGAGAATATTTCAGAAGAATCAAATCCTGATGTTATATCATATATTACCTATCCTTATAATGCATTTGATCCTTGTGAAAAACCTGTTCAATGCGAAGCACGAGTATTAAGTGAGCTCAATTTTGATTACAATTCGGATGATTTCATACCAACTGCTGTTCATCCTTATCACAAATCCACTTCCAATGTATACTCTAGTCAATGTGAGAAATATGTTTTAAATGAAGTCACATTATTCATAACTTGGGGATATAAAGATCCAACATTATTTCGTGGGGGAGGATAGTGTTGAAAAATATATGGGTCCAATTCTAGATATTAATGATTTCGGTACAAAACCGACATGCTGATTGTATATAATTCCAGGTTAGTGTGTTCCGATTTCGTTTGTTAATTCCAATACTAATGAGCACATTCTAGATACTACAAAGTTTTATCCAATACAATGTCGGACAGATTCAGGATGAACTTAACAAGAAGGCATACAACCGATTGCAAACACTTATACTTCTATTTAAGCTGTGTCGGATGTGGTGTTTGAATTGACTGACGATACCTTTGTACATGTTGAATGCTCGACTTCGAATTCCAAATACAGTACATTCGTTTGTGCTTGTGTCTTCTTAATTCCATTGCGTTATTTCTTGGACTCTTAGTTAGTGCTATAATTCAAATGATTCGAAACATTATACAAATGCAAATATGAGAAAAATTGGGTGCGTATTTGAGTGTCTGCTCTTTGGTGGACAACTTCTCGAGGCTTGCTTCGAAGAATAACCGATCATTAGAAACACTGAACTTAATAGGATGGGAATTAAAAAGTTTAGCATTACTTGCAGTTAAATGAATAGTAGCTTTACAAACTACCAGTGTGTGTTCAATTTTACCACATTTACAGCATCTAGCATTACGGAATACATGTGAATTAAATGAGTAAAATTTGGCAGAAGATAAACATTCACCAAACGTTTGCTCATCTTCGTGAACTGCTACACACTCCTCGGTCAAATGTTACCTGCAGAACCTCGAGTACGCATTAGATTCGGATGACGTATTGATGTACTAAAATTATTATTGTCCTAACGAATAATTTTATGAAGTTTTTCTTCTTTATCGCGTTCGAAATTTGTACACCCTAGATGATCTAGTAGCAATTTTTTGAGAGTTGCATAGGAAAGCGAAATTAATTTTTCTGATAATGTTAAAATGTTTATTATAACTTATTTGAGCAGTTACCGAGAATACAAATTTCTTAGGCTTTCTCAGCTTCGAAAATAATACGTTAATTTTCAGCACGGGTTATGTTCGACAATCGTGAAACTATGTATGAAAATATGACGACAGATAAGAAAACTTCATCATGTGACACATCTTCAGGTAGAGATCGTTCGATAATGCTGAAACATTTCTAACTCAACGTCTTTGATTCGTTGCACACTTTGTCATTCAAATATTTTTCCTCACTGAGTTAATTTCAGTGTTTGGGTAGTGTATCACTCATCAATATTACTGTTTTTACGCTGATTGTATTTCAATTAAAGTATCTGCCAGGAGTATTGCTCTTACTTCAAAAGTAAGTCCTCATTGGTACTTTTGAATACATTAATTGTTTTCGCATTTGCCTGCACATTTTGTTCTAACAATTTTCAGTTTTTCACTATTCCTGATCATCAGTTTATCTTGTCTATGGGTATTGTTCGTGTCTAGTTTCCATTGGAAAGCCTCTGACCGATGGCTAGACAGTGCACAAAAAGAAATTGCCAACGTCCATGCTATCGAAACACTGTGGGAAATAGCATGTATTGTGTTGAGAACAAAAGACTGTTTCGTAGAATTATAGTTTAATTCGATATTATTACATTTGTCTTCGGCACAATATCTACAGACTTGATCCTAAGATTTTAGATAAGTCATGATGTCACTACCTAATCTTACGTGGAAGTCACATCATGGTTTACACTGACTCGTTCTGTCGTGACAATCAGCAGTGTGACTGTTTTTTGACTTTGCCTAAATTATTATTTCGCCTTAAATACAAGTACTGAGTACAAGCGGCAAGCCCCTGCCCCAAAGAGATAGTGAGCTGTTGATAAATCTCGAAGAAGCGTAACCAAGTTGATTTCTGGAATAACAGAGCTACTGCACGATGGTCGAATGGCTAAACTAAAACAATTTCCATCATCATATG